TGGCGCCGTTCTGGGTCGTAGAGCCTGACGCAAGTCTTTATTCCAAGTGGTGCTGGCCGTGTTATGTTTCGGGGTTTAAACTGCGTGAAATCCGTGACTTGCCCTTTTGTCTTCTTGATACCAGCTGGTGCCCGAGCGCCTGTTCTGTTCGGTTACCTCGCCATTTGTTTCCCTTATCGGTGGAACCCTCTTACTTAAACTGGTCAAATCTACCCTTCCTAAAGGTGCTGCTTGAACTTCAGTGTACTTGAAGACCTCATGGTCAGCTGCTTCTCCGGCACTGTCCTCCGTGAGGGACAGACCGGGACCTCCCTCTAATCCCGTGTTCGATCATGCGGCTATGCATAGGACTTTTTCCAGGATATTTGTTGCTGTCTACTGTTCTTCTTTTATCATAGTCAGCACACACTGAATATCGCAGCTTTTGAAATACGCCGCGTCTTCTTTTTCCACCCTTCCTCCTGCACCCCTTCTCTCCTGGGCTGCAGTACATCGCCTGTTGCATGAGCCAGGCGGCTGAGTGAGGACAGCGTGTACCCGGTGGGAACCCAGCTTGAACCCCCAGTTCTCTCTCACTTACCCGGACCGCTGGTGGAAGGGCAGGGGCGAGCCGGGCTTAGGGAGGACCCAAAGCAGAGACTCGGTCAGTCTCCCAGCTCTCTCTCGCTTTCCTATTTGCCTCTCTTGACCGTCAGCATCACATTCTTATATATGCTTTCCCCAGCACCTTGAGAGAGGGCAAGGGTTGCCAGCAGGAAAAAAAGAAATCCCAGGAAAGGACTCTGATTGGCTTGTGCCAGTGATGGGCCCGCCCCTGCGGCACCACCCTGGCTTTGGGAGCAGAGTGCTCACCGAGGCGGGCCCTGTCGGTGGATGCCACCCCTGGCTGCTCTCAGAGGCCATGATTGCGGGGCCGTATACACAGGGGGATGGCAGCTCCCCTTATAAGCAAGCGTCTAGTGGGTCAGTTTTCCTAAAAGAGGTTGGGGCGGAGGGTTCCTGACCCCAGCAGAACCAGCAGTTTTCAGAAAAACATTGTTCATGATTGGATACAGGGTAGCCACTTCTAAAGAGGCTTTTGAACAGCCCATGTGAAGGGTGTGGGGACAGGAAGGGGAGGCACAGGAAGTGGAGGTGGAGCAGCGGCTTGACGTGCAGAACATTGAGAGGCAGCGTTGGCGGAGTTGTGAACAGACCATGGGAAACAAACTGCTCTGCAAACGCCGGCCCCAGAACACAAGCCTCTGCCTTGCGTGAGCCTTGGAAGCTCTTGGCGGCGCTGCGTGCACCTTTGCATTTGCATGTTTTGCTGCTTCATTTACATAGTTACTGTCATTTGTTCCATCACCGGAGCATTTTCTGTCTAGGCCAAAGGAAGGGACATGCAGTCATTGACAGTTTGTCTCTCCGAGCTGTTAAGCACAGAACAGGCTTCTTAAATGCCCTCCCTTCTGCCTCCACACATGACCAACTGAGTGTATAGGGGGGAAAAGCGTTGCCTTCGACCCTGACTGTTCCTGGAGGAAGGCCAGTGTTACGTGGACCGTGACTCCTTTATTGGTTTATCTGTGAATAGAATTATTCTGTCAGATGGTACATTCCACAGGGCTAGTTTAATGTGATTATAGATTTAGAGTAGATGTAGATTGTGGATTTCTCTTTGTGTTGGTTAATGCATAGGGCTTAATGCTGCTTTCACATTCAGATCATGGTTCTTATGTAATCATGTAAGGCATTTTTTAAAATCACAGTGAAGAAAATCCTTTTAGGTATCTGTGAGGTCTAATCTATTTTCAAAATAACACTAAGAGTTTATTGCCCTTTTAAAAATTAAATATATTGGGGGACATTGGTTAATCAATGTTATTGATTTCAAGTGTACGCCTCTATAATACACCATCTGTCTATTTCATTGTGTGTTCACTGCCTAAAGCCAACTCTCCTTCTGTCACCATATATTTGACCCCTGTGCCCTTTGCCATCCCCCACCCTCCCTCCCTCCGTCTGGTAACAGCCACACCGCTGTCTGTGGCCGTGAGGCTTTGTCTGTCTTGTTTGCTCACTTCTTGTTTTTAGTTTTATATCCCACATGAGTGCACTCCCATGAGAATATCATGCTATGCAGAACAACAGTCAGGAGCCATGTGGCATGTTTGCCTTGTCAAATGTGCTGACGTGTGCACGGATGGTACAAGAGCAGAGGCGGGCAAAACAGACCGCGGCGCCAAACTCACAGTGAGCGTAGTTTTAACTGTCATGCATTGCAAAGGGGAAAAGCCACTTTTACATAAGAATGGCCTTGATGAAGCAGTAAAGACCATTAATTTTTGACTAATGTTCTGTGTGAGGCTAAGGGCTGTACACATAGGCGCCTTCGCTCCGCACACAGACATACGCTGTCTTTACGAAAAGCCTTGGCCAGGGGTTTCCGCGGTGACCTCACCCGAGGGGCTTCTTTAGGGGGTCTCGTTCGTGCCTGAGAGAACGAGCGGCAGGCAGACTGTGGCTATTCAGGCTCGAGTATCGGCGAGCATTGTTTTTTTTCAAAATTAAGTAATCCTGTCATTTCAAAGAAATGACAAATGACAATAAGCATTGCCAAAGATAAAGATCCAAGTGAGATCAGAAGTTACAAATGAAAACTAGGATTAGGATCTTGGAAAACTGTAGTCACCACCTGACAGCGTCCCAATCTTTAAAGACTCAGCTGATGAAATTGGGGGTGATATTAACAAATGTGACTTTTCTCAATATGGCATTATGAAATGAGTCAGCATTTGGAAGATCTGTCTAACTCAGTGAACTAATCTTCCCTAAATAGTCATCAGTGTGTGGTATTACACATTGTTATACAAAGTCATTCACAGGTAAACAGTTCATTCAAAGTACAAGGTAGACCAATAGATCTTATCTACTAGGGTTAAAAAAAAAGTTCACTGGTAGAGGTTTGAAATTATATGTTATCTCAGTTCCCAGGGTTCTTAATCTCCCTTAACTCTTAGCTGTCCCTCCATTCTACGACTTCCCCCTCCGTTTGGGATTGTGATGCTACTGCCATATTTTCTTCTTTATCCTCTTGCACAGCTCCTTGTATGTGTCTTTGTTCATTTTTATTCTTCAGTTCCCAAACTGTAGGTATTTTCTCAAAACTCAAAGCTCTTTTTTTGCTTTTGCCCTTCTTGTGGTCAAACCGGAGTGATCTTTTCTCATCGTTTCGGCTCTCACCTCTCTGTGCCCCTCCTTGTCCCCTCCAGCTGTTGGACAGCAGCCATACTCCAGATCCCAACTTCGTACAGGAGCTTCCTTCATTCATTCCTCGGGGATTCTTTTCTGCCAGTGGATAGGTTCTGTCCTCAAATTCTGATCAGTGTCCTGCTCTAACATTCTGTTTCTGTGTTCAGAATAATTCCGCACCTTTTTCCTTAATTTGTTTTCATTACTCGTTTTTTTCTTAAAAGGCGCTGCATTCTGCTGGTCACTTAGACTCAAAACCCTCACTCCTTCCCCCTCACAGTCCACGCTGAGTTCGCCCGTCCCGTCTGGCCTGGCTGTGTCCCGGCTCACGCCCTCCTCCGCCCCCGCCGCTGCTGCGGGCCCCGTCTGGGCCGCATGCTCGCGGGCGCCGAAGGCCTTGCTGTCCCTTCGCGCCCCTCCCCGGCCGGCCTGCCCGCCGTTGCCCCAGGCGTGTCTTCCTCAGCCAGCACTTCTCCCCCATGCCGCCTGGTCAGCCGCTGCGTGAGCCTCCGCTCCCCTCCGCTCCCCTCCGCAGCGCTTCCTTTCAGAGGAGAGATGAGCCCGCACACGACGTGGGTTATTTCCTTCCTGATGCAGCTGAGGAATGGCCACAGAGACGCGGCACACAAGCCTTTCACATGTGCCTGCATAAAACAGTGCTACCAGTTACTACAACCAAGGCTATAAAATGGGTAGAGTTTAAGCGAGCACTGTGAATGTGGCAAAGGCCGCTTGCCAAAACTGAGTCGTCAAGGGCGATGTGGAGATGGCACAGGCTGCTCAGGCGTGATGTGTACCGTGACACGGGCCAGGCGTCTGGGGAGCCGTTGCCTCCCCAGCGCGCTGTGCTGCTACCCAGCCTTCCCTCGGCACAAATGTGTCATCTGAGAGACCGGTCCCTCTTTTTCTGCCACCCCTCAGCTGCTACCATGAAAATAGCTCCACTCAGTGGCGGGAGCACTAACACTAAATAAAAATGCACGTTCAGGCCCTGGCACTTGCTGGTGTTTTGGAGTTACTAGGTGAGCATCCAGGTGACCCAGAAAATGATGTGTGTGCGTATGTGAGTGTGTGTGTATGTGAGAGGGAATATTTTAGTTGACTTGAAAAAAAAAACACTCAATGTTTTTACAGAAAATGAACAGAATCTCAAAATCCGTCCCCAACTTGCAGAGCCCCCAGGCCCCATCCTCCCACCCCCGATCTGGGGAGTGAAGGCCAACCTGCCCTGTTGCCATCCAGAGCCTTCACCTGTCTGGGTCATGTTTCTCTCCCTTTTCAGCTTTTTTTCCCTTTTGTTTCTTTTTTGACTTCTTATTGCTGCGAGAACGTGCTCGCTGTTCCCCAGGTTTGTGTGAAACTCTTGCCCCCCTCTTCAATTATAATTTGATTATTTCTCCTTCAAGCTCTTCCTTTGAGCCCTTTATGTATCTAGTACTTTGGAATTTTATTTTTTGTAATATTAATTTTAATTGTTTGATTTTCATGCTCCCTGCATCGCTGGACTTCAGTGCCCGATAGGCAAAATAATACCTTGAATGTTTTTTAATCTTCAAGATCACCATTGGAATTCCTGAAGCACTAAGTGAACCAAGTGGCAGTGTAATGCTCAGCATTAGAGATTCAGTTTTCCTTGCAGAAATATGTTATTTCTTCATGTAGCGTGTAAGCAAAGTAAGGTGATTCGATGTAGAAAACTTCTGTGTCTAAGCAGCTGCAGTGCCTTGGAAGTTCTGCGCCTCCCACCGTTTCTTCTGTGCTTTCAGGGCTGCTGGGGAAGATCCTGGTGGCCATCCGGGACGCAGGCTTTGAAATCTCAGCTATGCAGATGGTACGTGGTTTGCAGTGAGCTCCAAAAATGTTTGGCGTTGAATTTTCTCTGTGCACTCAATGCATCAAAGCACCAAAAAATACAGTTACTGAACTTGATATACTTATAATCAAAAAATGTTTTTGAAATTATTTTACCCATATAATCTTTCACTGATAGAACTAATATTCAAATGGTATACCTAATTTAAGCTTATATGGTAGGTTTATACAATTCTTGGAACTTTGCTTGCAGGTATGAGCTAAGACAGTGTATTTAGTTTTTACAAATGAAAAATAGAATTAAGGCAGCCCTGGCTGGCGTGGCTCAGTGGACTGAGCGCGGACCTGCAAACCAAAAGGCTGCTGTTCAATTCCTGGTCGGGGGACATGTCCGGGTTGCGGGCCAGGTTCCCAGTTGGAGGCATGTAAGAGGCAGCCAATTGTTGTTTCTCTTTCACATCGATGTTTCTTTGTCTCCCTACCATCTCTTCTTTCTAAAAATAAATAAATAAAATCTTTTTAAAAAGTAGAATTAGGCTAAGTGGTTATAATGAATTTTCTGTTGTCTAGATTTGTGGCTAAGAAGAGAAGGAGGGAAGAGAATCATTTTGGCTTTTTCGCTGACCAGGACCTTTTGCTGGTTCCTGGATTTTTCCTCCAGCATCTTTTCTGAAGTGGGGACATGTTGGCCCCTATGTGGGCGAATTGCCGTGACGCGTTTCTCGGAAAGCGTTCCCCGAAGGAACACCACCCGCTTCCGTAGGGCTCACGCTTTCGTTCTCCACTTACCAGGGCATTTGACGAGAAACGGGGTACAGATTATTAGAGGAATCAGATACATGATGTGGGTTTTACCATGTTTGAAGGCCAGCAAGTTTATGCTATTATGATAGTGAAGTGCTGATTTTGGAGCTAAGAATTCTCTTACCAATTTAATTTGTGTCCTCTCCTTCTAAGAAGGGAGTGTCTTTGATTTCTCTGGAGGCTTAGGATCACCGAAGAGTGGAGGCCAGGCACCAAGTGAGGCTCCGCCTGCTTTGTGTCCCAGGTTGGTGGGGACGCCTGTAAGCCAGAATAGGTCAGAACTGGGAGAAATTTGCAGAGTCGTCAGGCAAAACTTGGACACAGATGAGGAAGTCGATATTTGAAGAATCTTACCTGAGACTATACAGAAACTGTGAACCCAAACTTTCTCAAAGCAGCTTGGCAATGGACCTGAGCCCGCTGAGAAAAAGGATCAGTGTGGAAATTTTAGCTTTGAGCATTCGTCTAAGTCCTGCTAGATCAACCCATGACCTCGCTCAGTGAGTGGCCATACTAGGTGCTCAGGGAAAACAAGAGTAATTTTAAAAAGATGAATTGAACCTGTGGGAGAGGCGTGGCGATTTAGTGACATTCACAGTCCTTGATTTTTGGAGTAAGAAAGATTTATTTCTGGCTCGTGGGTCAGCTGCTTTCTAGGTATGTGACCTTGGCCAAAGTTCAGGCAGCCTTGTCTGCAGTGTTAGCAGCTAAGCACTGAGAATGCCATTGTTTGCTTCAGTGGGCTCAGTGAAATAACCCTTTCTAATGGAACACTCTGCACTGCAAGACTGGTGGAATTTCCAATGCAAATTACTAGGTATTTAATAAATTATGTTTCCTGGTACTACTTTGTTATATTAATAACACAGGTTGTGTGACTACAGGGTTAAAAACCTGAAATCAAACAAAATTCCCTCCCTGTATAGCTGTGTTGGTTACGAAAAATAAACCCCCTAATTGGAATTATTGTCTGAGCAGGCGGGGATTCCTCCGTAACCATCAGCCCTGGCCACAAGGAGCGAAGTGTGTTGGGAGGAATGGGAGATAAAATTGGAAACTCTGAGGCGATTTTGAAAACATTTAAGGTCTTAGCTTTTGAGACAGTAGAACTTAATGAACTTTTATTTCTGTGTTTGAATCCAGCTTGGACAAGAATGAGTCCTCGTACGCTTATCTTTTTGAAGGGTCGTGGGAATCCCATATGACTTGTGCAAGTGCTTTACCGTGAGCCAGGCTAATTAGGGACTTTTCTGAATGCTTGGGAGAGGAAGGGTTTATGGTCAGCCCTCTCGACAAATCTGAAGCACTTTTCTTTAGTGCTGTTTCTTTCCTGTGCCACTAATTTGTCAGGGAACAACACTGCGTTGTGTGTGGCTTTTTATAGTACTGAGGATGGAGCCTTCCTCCAAAAGGAGGGCGCTGTGCTGGGTACGAGCGCGGGCCGGTCAAGGCCCCTAACCCTCCGCGCCTCGGCCTCCTCTGCGGCCTGGGCTGTCAGCTCTGCTCAGGTCCCAGGTGGTCCGGCCACCACATGAGACACCGCCTATGCCCCATGGAGAACGGCGCTCGACACCTGAAGCACTGTGTAATCGTTCCCCATTTTTATTATGGATGAGCTAATTTCTGACAACACTTTCTTCTTCAAAGAGTATTTAATAATTAAGGTTTACATTTTAAAGTAAAGAAAAAATAATCAAGAGATCATAAATGTTGAAACAAGTTGACTCATTTCATTTGCTTGGTTGACTTATGTTTTGTTTTGTTTTTACTATAGTTCAACATGGACCGAGTCAACGTTGAAGAGTTCTATGAAGTTTATAAAGGAGTAGTGTCTGAGTATAACGTAAGTATCAAAGTAAGTGGAAGCTTTGGTACTGAAAACCATTTGAGTGTCTCACACCTTGGGGATCTCAGCATCATCTTTCATCATGAAAGTATTCCTCAGAGTATCCAGGGTTCTGCCCGTCGCCAGCCACCGACACCCAGGGACAGAGGCATTCTCACCCCTGAGAGACACTGGGTCAGGTTCAAAGACACGATATTGTTTCACTTACGAAATGGAAATCCTCAGGAATGCAAGGGAAATAGCTTGCTGGGGTATTGACTGACATTATCTGTGACATTTAGAATATTCTCAGGGTAGAAGACTGTCCCAAATGGTTTTGAAGGTTAAAAGCAGCTAGTTCTTAACATGATAGTGTAACTCCATAGCAGTGCTTAGTATCTACTTTAATGATAGAGTCATCTGAAAATGTGACTGAGACAGAAGAAACAAGAGTACAAGGGAGTTGTTCAGAGGACAGTGAAGTGGGTCCTTGAAAACAAATGACTAGATTCCAATAAGCCAAACAGTTCCTTAGAGTAACACCTGGTGAGTCCGGGCTGGTGTGGCTCCGTGGAAGAAGGCAAAGGCAGCGTCAGCATTTGGAGGTTAGTGGGATAGTGGTACAGTTAAAGAGGAAGCGTAAACAGTTATTTAATTGTATTAATTTTTAATACTTCGTATTACCTATTGCAGGAGATGGTGACAGAAATGTATTCTGGCCCCTGCGTAGCGATGGAGATTCAACAAACGAACCCTGCAAAGACATTTCGAGAGTTCTGTGGACCTGCTGATCCTGTGAGTGACTGTTTCAATATCAATCAAGTCTGTTTTTTCATTAACTAAATATCTTGACTGGTTTGATAGTTTTACTTTACTTTTTAAAAGAAATAATACAAATGCGAGCATAATAGACAAAACTTTTTATTCAAAACAACATTTTAAAATCATTTTTTATATAATACTCTGAAAAAAAGGTGAATTTTTATTAGAATGGGCAGAAGCATTTACTGTGCCATTTTCTCTCATTGTCTTCTTGCCAAATTGTCTGGGTGGGTAAACGTATCGAGCTCTGTGACAGAAACTGTCTAAGGTATTGATTATCCCCTGACGCAAGGAGGCTACAATGGAGCTGTCAATGTGAGGACTATTGACGTGGTGGCCTCATTCCAGATCCGTAAATAAATGTGAGCGGGGGAACTCGGTGAGACTCAGTATTCTCTAGGATACCTTGCAGCTCCTTTGGGTCGTCTTCATGTGGACTTTGGGTGGCGAGGATCAGAGAGGGGCCGAGAAGCAGGAGTCGCGTGACAATGTGCATGAGGAACCTCCGTGCGGATGTTACAAGCTGGGCAGGACCGTGGGAAGTATTACTGGTTTTAAACACTAACTGAAGTTCACGTCTGCTCTTTCACTTCGCTGTCACTTGTAAACAATGTATTGGAAATGAGCGGCCCACTCGACGCGGCCTGCCGCAGGCAGCGCCTCCGGAGTGCCCTCGGACCCAGGGGCCAGCCGGCGGCAGCCGCCAGGGGCCGGCTCGCCTGCGGGCTGCGCAGTGAAGCCCTGTCGGGAGCGGCCCGGGACCGAAGGGCACAGGCCTCGAGGGGTGCAGAACACTTCCAGAGAAGCTGCGAGTGAGGCCTGAAATATGGTTTGGGTGAAACGCAAATGCCGAAGGGCTGTCTGTTTAGTAAAGGAGCAGTTGTTACGACGCGGAGGGAGCTGAGAAAGCTGTGTTCGCGGGAGAGGACACACGTGCGCTCAGCTAAGCAACGCCCTGGCTTTCGTACTGTAAGCAAGTGTCCTGTGTGCAGCCCACTCGGTGCCACGTTCTCACGTGTCTGTGCTTTCATGGTGGTTTCCCTGCCTAAAACGGCCCCGTGCACTGTGCTGAGCGCTGTCCCCGTCCCCGAGAGCGGCAGCGCGGCTGTGTGTGCCGGGGGTGCCGGTGGGACACAAGCGTCATGCGCAAGTCCAGGGCCGTGGGCCGGATTCAGGGTCCCTGAGGCAACAGGAGATGTTGAACAAGGCGTCCTCAACCAGAAACACGCGTAAGACGAGGCTGTGTGCTCATTGCCTGCGAAAAAGGTTGCGACCGGAGGCTCGTGAAACCTAACCCTGCATTTCTCAGTATTTCAGTTTCCACTAACTCAGGGGTCACGGCGACCTTACAGACACAACCACGGTGACGAACAAGAGGCAGCTATGCAAGGCTGAACACACCTTGCCCACAGGGCTACGGCCTGCAGCTCCCACCGCCACATGGAGTCGGCGCCGGAGCTTTCTGACTTTTCAAGTTTTGCTAATCTCATTGGCTTCAGAAAATATCATTCTGTTTTAACATGCATTTCCCTGATCATTACAGCTAAGCACATGTATGTGAAGGAGGAGTCTTTTCTGTGACTCGTTCCCCAGTTTTCCTTCCTCTCCTTTGTCTTCCTCAAACAGAAAATTATAACCAACTAATCTTTAAATATGTCTGACATTAAAAGAAGGAGGAGAATGTGTCCTGAAGAAATTTCTCTGTTCTTTTGCTGGCTGCTTGTCCCATGAGATCAAGATGCCTATTTAGCCCGGGCCCAAAGAGACCCATCCCTGAGACAGAGGTCCGAGTTAAAATTATTTTAGTTCTTGGCCAAGAAAAGCAGTCCCATCAAAACAGAACAACCTCCTTAAAGAAAGATACATGCACATACAGAGTGGGAGCTCTGGGAACTGACCTCTGGCTGATGGACCCTCTTGTCACCCAACACTTACATTATCTTCCGAGGATTTCCGAAGTGGGTTATGAGATAAGAGGAACTTAGTCCGTGCTAGGCTTTCAAAGCCCTGAGAAAACCAGGCGTACAAGATATGGAAGCGGCCCAGGTACCCATCAGTAGATGGGTGGATAAAACAACAATGGGACATTCACACAATGGAATACTGCTCAGCTGTAAAAAAGAAGATAATTTTACCCTTTGCAACAGCGTGGATGGACCTGGGAATGTTATGCTAAGTGAACTAAGCCAGTCAGAGAAAGACAAATACCGTATGACCTCACTCGTGTATGAAATCTAATGAACAAACAGACCCAACAAGGAAAACGGGGACAGACCCACAGGTGGAGAGCAGATGACAGCGTGTGGGGGGCAGGGTTGGGGATGGAGAGGTGGAGCAAGAAGGAGAAAGGACTCATGGCCACGGGCCACAGTGTGGTGACTGCAGGGGGGTGACAGGGTTTCAGGGGGTTAAGTGGTGATGGAGAAATGACAATACAATTTTTTCTAAAGAAAGAAAACCGGGCATAGAGGATCTTGGTGAGAGTGTGTCCTTCAAGGCGAAACCTGGGAGGCGTGCGGGAAGCATGCGGTTTGAAGGCTGAGCTTCCCTGTGGGGACAGAACGGAGCAGAGTGGACAGCCCAGGAAGAGGCCTCCGTGCGGTCCTCGCCACTGGCCCTTTCGAAGGCTGGCGGCCCCTCTTCCCAAGCGGCCGGTCTACAGAGGGGCACAGCCTGGTTTGTAACGTACGGCAGAGCCGGCGGTGGCTCCTCTGAGGCCCTCAGGCACCTGCCTTCACGTGGGAAACCCCAAAGTTTTAATCCGACTTCCGCCATTTCAGGAAATGATAACAGACCCCAGAGCAAGGCCCTCAGGGACGTCGGAGCCTCTGGCAGGAGAGGAGGCCCAGGGCGACCAGGAAGTAAAGTCGGGCCACGTCCGCATGCAGAGGTGCTGCCTGCTTTGTGTTCGAAGAAGGGATGACGGGGTCACCATCAACTGGACTGAAGGAAGAGATGGCGTCTCCTTCAAGGGGGCTGAGGACTAGCTCAGCCGCAGAGAGGAGGGGCCCGACTGGGAAATGGGACAGCAGCTCGATCTAAAACAGGCCAAGGCATCGGCCCGCAGACACGGCCACACTGACCCGTGCCCTGGGCTGGCCAGATAAAGAACCCCAGTGCTCGCCGCCCATGACAACAGTAACACGCGTGCCGGTCAGTTACGGGAAGTGGAGTGGGAGGCGGGTGGCGTGAGTGGGAGAGGCATGCTGCTGTTGTAAACAGGTGGTCAGGCGGGTTCCTTTGAGAAGGTTCCACTGCACAGAGTCCTGAGGAGGCGGGAGAGCCAGCCACGCAGCTGCCACCTGGAAGAAGGGCCACCAGCGTTCAGGCCTCGGGCTGGGAACGTCCTAACGCAGGGTCGCATGCTTGTCTGCAGACTCCTCTCTTCCCATGTCAGTCGTGTCACAGATGCTAATTTTGTTTGTTTAAAGATCAGTATGAAATAACTGAGGACAGCAAAGACTCAAAATTCAGTGTGATTTGATACGGGTCAGGATCACTGGCAGATAGGAGGCCAACTTGGTTTACCAAAAATGCACAAACCTGGCCGTGGACCCTCTAATACCTCTACATTCACAAAAACAAAAGAGAAGATTCAACACCTTAAAGTTCCTTGCCCGCACCTGTCCCTAAAAAGTCATATCTCTTTAAAAAGAGCAAAATCGGCAGTTATCACTTCTTGCAAGTGACTGGCCCAATGCATGCCATGAGGAAAAAGTGCTTCTAGTAAGTGAGGGGCCTGTCGTACATGTAATATTCCTTTTCCCAAGAAGGACTTTCAGTCTGTGAGTCTTTTCATTTACTTTGGTGAATCAGCAAAGGCAAAAAAGAGGAGAATCAATTAAAAGTGACTTACAAGACCCTCAGGCCACTGAAAGGTCAACTGCAGGAGATGGGAATGAAAATGATATAAAAGACATGAAAAGTGGTAAAAAGCTATAAATATAAAAGTTAAATTATGAAATAATAAAAATAGCAGACCAGAGCAAGTGGAAAACAGGCTACCCACCCCCCGCGCCTCCCCCCACATTCTCCCCCTTATCTCCTCCAAGAAGACGGCTCTCCTGTGCTCCCAGGTGTGCGCTTCCTGTCAAAGCTGGCGGCTGCCTGGCTGCCGTGTGCACGGCGAACCTGCAGACCCACGGCTGCTGTTGCGCCGGCTTTAGAGGGCTCCCCATTCTCCTTGTGCCCGGATGCTTCTTCACCCCCCACGTGGCCGTGAAGGTGAGGGCGCTGCAAGCGTCGATCGGGGGCTGCAGTTGAACGTCCATGACGGGATGAGTTTGCAGGTGTGGGCTCTGTGAATAATGCGGATCGACCGTGTTGCCTACATCTTCTCATAAGTTGGAATGACATTTATAAAAGAAAAATAAATTTTAAAAAGAATGAGCAATGCCTGCCTAATAAAATATCCTGGTTAAAGAAAATAATATTTCTTGAAGAGTAGACGGCTGTAAAGGTTTATTACAGTTAGCTTGAAAAAGTACAAAATACATGCTAGAAAATTCTTGCATTTCAGAATAGCTGTTTGTCTTAGATTTCTTTTGCTTTGATATTAAATAACATTAAGCCCCAGAACTTGTCAAAGATAATAGCCTGCTCTGTGATTATAAAACATAAAACACTGTGACCTAATAAGAGTAACAGAGAAACAGTTGACATTAAACTGCTGAATAAAACAATATTTTACAATATTGTTCCGTGACAAGTGAAACAAAGCTTTATTCAAATATAACATCACTGGTTCAACAGTAATATTTTCCCAGAAAGACAAGAGATGTAATTCAAATTTATGAGTAAGATTTTTGGAACTGTATATATCGTCTTCTGGTAATGTATACATTTTTCAACTAAATTAACTTACAATGAAAATATTTATCTCTCTTTGTTGTTGTTGTTCTAGTTGTTGAGTATCAGGACTGGGATTCAAACCTGTATATGGCTGCTCCTAAACTAACACCTTTAATCAGCAC